CAGAACCAGCAAGTCGTTCGGATCAGAGGAAGGGAAGTGATTGGTCGGGAGTTCAATATCCTTCTATTTCAATAACGAAAGTGTTCAATTCCTCGAAGGTGAACAATGAATCACCCACAACTCGTTTAAAGTGATGCTTAAAAATTTTCACGCTTGATTCCCACAATCCCCCGAAATGCGGAGTCATTGGCGGTATAAAATGCCATGTTATCCGATGGTTACTCGCGAATTTGTCTACATGTTCTTTATGTTCTTGAGAATTGAGCAAAACGTATAATTCTCTAAGCTGGTTATTCGCGCCCACGAAATTAGTTCCGTTATCCGTGGTCTTTCCATTTCCTGGTGGTGCATATAAAATGCATGGAGGTGTTGGATATGGTAGTGGATCGTTGTTACATAATATACAATTTGAAATGCAATCATGAACTAGATCTTCTTCTATTAGAGTTGCATTAGGATCTCTTCTTCTAATTTCATTAATAATAGAAATTAGGATTCTTGGTTGTTCATGAGATCGTAATAAGGTATGAAATCCATGGTCATTAGCCACGGTTTCGGCTAGATAAATATTTTCTTCAGGTCCGGAATAAAACCATTGTCCTTGGTGTTGATGGATGTCTGGATTATTCAATTCCTGTTTTACCTGCTCTAATACCTTGGTTGGTGGTGTTAGTTGTGGTGTTTCTGACACGTTAAAGATATGCATTGCATTATCTTGTGTCTCTTTCGACCACCATTGATCTCGAAACTCCTCAAAACTTAAAGCTTGATGTGTTGTATGATCTTTAATCATTAAATTAAGCTGAGTGGCTTTCTTAATCAATGTTGCATGTGGTACGGATTTATCCCAATCTAATTGACATTTCCACACATCCTGCATGAGTTTTTTAGCGTATAATATGATAGGGCCTAATAAGCCCAGCGGGTCGAATATTTTAGCAATTTCGGACAGTATACTTCTTTTTGTCAATTTTTTCGCAATCTTGATCGGCCTAATAAAATAGCATATCTTATCATCTCGCGCGCACCAGCTCACGCCGAGCGTTTTTAAAGAGCGATCTTCGCCGAACGTAAACTTCGCGTGAAGCGCGTTATCCGCGAGATCCTTCACGAGGCGCTCGTCGTTAGAAGCCCACTGTCTGATTTTAAATCCGCCGCGTGCTAGTAATGAAGTTATTTCGTCCCTAATTTTTCGGGCGTCAACGATTTCATCGGCACCAGTCAATAGGTCATCTACGTATAAGTGTTTTTTAAGAATTTCGGCTGCTCTAGGGTATGTGTGTCCTTCATCGTCAGCTAATTTTTGCAATGTTCTAATCGCGAGAAACGATGAGGA